AGGTCTGATGGAGAGTCCGGGCCTGGGGGTGGGCGGGAGGGGCAGGGGCAAGATGTGAACCTGTAAGGCGGTGCCAGGCCGTAGGGACCATGGGTTAACCCGAATAGGCTTGCAATCAGCTCCTGGAGGCGAGGACTTGGGGATCGAGGGGAGCGAGGGAGAGGGTGTGGGCTGAGAGGTGAGGCTGGGGTCAGACTTTGGGGTGGGGGGCCCTTCATGGTCCTGGACATTTAATGAGGGCCGGGGGGTTGCATGAAAGGCCTGGGAGGACGCTTGGGATTTGGGTGTGATGGGATGCGGAGCTGGGGTCCAGGACCTCACCGCAGCATCCGTTGGCTCCGCCTCTACCCCATGTCCTCGCAGAGCCCCCCACTCCCATCGCGCCCCCGCAGCTGCTGCGCGCAGGTCCCACCTACCTCATCATCCAGCTCAACACCAACTCCATCATTGGCGATGGGCCGATCGTGCGCAAGGAGATTGAGTACCGCATGGCGCGCGGCCCGTGGGCAGAGGTGCACGCCGTCAACCTGCAGACCTACAAGCTGTGGCACCTGGACCCCGACACTGAGTACGAGATCAGCGTGCTCCTCACGCGCCCCGGGGACGGTGGCACTGGCCGCCCCGGGCCGCCCCTGGTCAGCCGCACCAAGTGCGCAGGTGAGTATGGGCTCCGGGCATCCAAGGGGGGAAGTGGTGCATTCTGAGGTAGTATGGCCTGCATCTGTGCTTCTAAAACTTTCTAAAACGTGAGTTTTCCTCAGTCCTTGTTATGGTAAAGATAATAATAGCTAACACTTTGTGCCAGACTCATAACGCACATGTACATGCACACACACACACACCCACACTCTCTCTCTCGCTCTCTCTCTCTCTCTCTCTCTCTTACTGATTTAAAACTCACAACACACAAAAACCTGTACACGAATATTCATAGCAATACTGTTCATATTCATTTTATAGATGAAAAATTAGAGAGAGTGAAAAATTTTAGAGAGAGAGGAAGGGAGAGGGAGAGAGAGTGAAAAATCAATGAGGTACAAAGATGTTAGGTTACTGGCCCAGAGCTAGTAAGTGGAGGAACCTGGCTGGCTCCAGACTCTGTGTCCATAATTCGACATTATGTTACCTAGATAAAATAAACAACACCACCAAATGAAGAAAGTGTGTTATTAAATTGTAGCTGGAGTCTCTTGTCTGGGCATTGCTCTTCCACGTTGAAGGGCTGAAGCGTCTGCTAGGAGTGATGGCACACCTGCACCAGAGAAGCCATTATTTTTAATCTGAAGAGAAATTGAGAACAAAACAATTTTCTCACTCTGTGATTTAAGCATGTGTTTTTAATTGGATTTTTTATTATAATAATTGCAGATTTATATGCAGTTGTAAGACAAAAGAGAGAATTCCCTATACACGCTACCCATTTCCTGCAATGGTAACATTTCCCCAAACTGTAGTTTAATATCACAATCAAGATATTGACAGTGATACAACCCACAGATCTTATTCAGACTTCTCCAGTTTCACGTGTTACCATTTGTGTATATGTGTGTGTGTGTGTGTGTGTGTGTGTGTATTTAGTTCTATTTGCTTTTATCACATGTGTAGGTTTGTGTATTTGCCACAGACCTAGATACGGAACAGTTCAATCAACTTAAGAATCGTGGGTGGTGTTCTTTTATATCCACACTCACCTCCATTCCTTCTTTCACCACAACTCCTGAGAACTACTAATCTGTCCTTCATTTCTAAAATTTTATCATTTCAAAAATATTATATAGTCCTGCCGGTGTGGCTCAGTGCTTGAGTCGACCCATGCACTAAGATGTCAGGGCACATGCCTGGGTTTTGGGCTCAATTCCCAGCAGGGGACAACGTGTTAAGGTTTCTCTGTCATTGATGTTTCTATCTCCCTCTCCCTCTACCTCTCTTTCTAAAATCAATAAAAACATATTTAAAAAGTTATATAATTTATGGAACCAAACAGTATATAACCTTTTGGAATTGATTTTTAAATTTGGTACCATTTTTATTGAGATATAATTCACATCTCATACAATTCAATCATTAGAATGTACAATCCAGTGGATTTTAGCATATTCACAGAGTTGTGCAACCATCACCACAATCAACTTTAGAACATTTTCATCATCCCAAAAGGAAACCTTGTATCTTTTAGTAGTCCACCCCTCATTTCTTCCTAACACCTCCAACACCAGGCAACCACTCATTTACTTTGTCGGTGTGGCTTTCTTCATGTGCTTATATTTACAAAAATCCATATTTACCTTTTTGTGAACATTTTATATAAATGAAATCTTACAATCTACAGTTATTTTTTGTGACTCCGCCATTCACCTAGGATAATGGTTTTTTTTAAAAAATATATTTTATTGAGTTTTCACAGAGAGGAAAGGAGAGAGACAGAGAGCCAGAAACATCGATGAGAGAGAAACATCGACCAGCTGCCTCCTGCACACTCCCCACTGGGGATGTGCCCGCAACCAAGGCACATGCCCCCGTCCGGAATCGAACCCGGGACCTCTCAGTCCGCAGGCCGACGCTCCATCCACTGAGCCAAACCGGTTTTGGCTAGGATAATGTTTTTAAGGTTTATCCACATTGTGGTATATATCAGTACTCTATTCCTTTTTTATTGCTGAATAATATTCTGTTATTTGGACAATACCACCATTTATCCATTCACCAGTTGATGCACATTTGGATTGTTTATACTTTTTGGCTATTATGAACAGTTTTGCTATGAATATTCATGTACAGGTTTTTGGTGGACATATGTTTTTATTCTGGTTATATAGTGTATATATCATATGGTAACTATGTTTAACCTTTGAGGAACAGCTGCACCGTTTTACATTCCCATCAGTAGTATATGAGGGTTTCAATTTCTCTATATTCTTGTCAACATTTATTACCTGTCTTCTTATTAATAACCCTCCTAGGGGGTATGAAGTGGTATCTCACTGTGGTTTTGATTTGCATTTCCCTGATGGTCAATGATAATGACCATTTTTTTTCATGTGCTTATTGGTCATTGGTATGTCTTCTCTGTAGAAGTGTCTACTCAAACCCTTTACCTATTTTTAAATTTTTTGTTGTTGTTGTTGTTATTGAGTTGTAGGAATCTATATAATAAAAGCCTATGACTGTTATGGCGGAATGACAGAACGACCGGTTGCTATGATGCGCACTGACCACCAGGGGGCAGATGCTCATCGCAGGAGCTGCCCCCTGGTGGTCATTGTGCTCCCACAGGGGAAGCGCTGCTCAGCCAGAAGCTGAGCTCACAGTTGGCAAGTGCAGCTGCGGTGGTGGGAGCCTCTCCCGCCTCCGCAGCAGTGCTAAGGAGCAGCGAGCAGGCAGGTGGTAAGGAGCGAGGGCCGAGCTGAGGGTCTTCCCCCGCCCCGCCCCACCCAGTGCAGAATTTTGTGCACTGGGCCTCTAGTTCTTCATATATTATAGATGCTAAACCTTTATCAGATGTATTTGCAAACATTTTCTTCCATTCTGTGGGTTGTCTTTTAACTTTCTTGATGGTGTCTTTTGAAGCACAAAGGTTTTTAATTCTGATGAAGCCCAATTTATATATTTTTTCTTTTGTTGTTTGTGCTTTTGATGTCCCATCTAAAACAAAAATAACAAACTACTGCCTAACCTAATAGATTTACCGCTATTTTTTCTAGGAGTTTTATAGTTTTAGCTCTTACGTTTAGGCCCTTGATCCATTTTGAGTTCATTTTTGTAAATGGTGTGAGGTAAGGGTCCAGCATTATTCTTTTGCATGTGGATGTCCAGTTGTCCCAACACTATTTATTTATTATTTAATTTATTTACTTTAGAAGATGACTTTAGCAGTTTTTATATATGTTTTTATTGATTTCAGAGAGTGAGGAAGGGAGAGGGAGAGAGACACATCTATCAGCAGCCTCCTGTCCACCCCCTACTGAGGATTGAGCCCGAAACCCAGGCATGTGCCCTGATCAGGAATTTAACCTCTTGGTGCATGGGATGATGCTCAACTAACTGATCCACACCAGCTAGGGGCCCAGAACCATGTATTGAAAAGATTATTCTTCCCCATTGAATTGTCTTGGCACTGAGATTGGTTTTTTTTGTTCAATATAATTCCCTGGAGATTCATCCAGGTTGTTGTGTATATCAGTAATTTATTCTTTTTTATTGCGGAGTAGTATTCTATGATATGGATATACCACACTTTGTTTAACCTTTCACCAGTTGAAGGACATCTGGACTGGCACCACTTTTGGCTATTACAAGTAAAGCTGCTATGAGCATTTGTGTATAGGTTTTTCATGAACATAAACTTTCATTTTTCTGGGATAAATGCCCAAGGACTCTGCTGATGGGTCATATGCTAAGGGCATATTTAGTTTTATCAGAAACTGCCAGAATGCCTATATATTTTACATTTTCACCAGCAATGTATGAGTGATTCAATTTTCTGCATCCTTGCCAAAATTTGGTGGTGTCATAATTTTTGTCATTTTAGCCATTTTGAGAGGTGTATAGTAATATGCCATCCTGGTCTTAATTTGCATCTCCTTAATGCCTAGTGATGTTGAACATCTTTTTATGTGCTGTTTGCCATCTGCATTCCTCTTTGGTGAATTGTTTGTGTCTTTGCCCATTTTCTGAGTGGATTATTCATATTTTACTGTTGAGTTTTGAGAGGTATTTACACATACTAGTCCTTTTGTTGGATATGTAGTTTGGAAATACTTTTCTCTCAGCTTTTAACTTGTCTTTTTTTCCTCCTTACCTGGTCTGTCACAGAACAACCACTTTTAATTTTGATGAGGCCAATTTATAAAAATTTTCTTTTATTAATTGTGCTTTTGATGTCAAGTTTAAGAAATCCTTGCCTAACCCTAGATTCCAAAGATTTTCTCCTGTGTTCCCCCCGCCCCCAAAAGTGTAAAAATAGTGTTTTTAAAAATATATATATTTTTATTGATTTCAGAGAGGAAGGGAGACGGGGAGATAGAAATATCAGTGATGAGAGAGAATCACTGATTGGCTGCCTCCTGCACACCCCCCGACTGTGCTTGCAACCCCGGCATGTGCTCTTGACCGGAATTGAACCTGGGACTCCAGTCCACAGGCTGATACTCTATCCACTGAGCCAAACTGGCTAGGGCTAAAATAGTTTTACTTTTTACATTTAAGTCCACAATCCATTTTGAGTTAATCTTTGGATAAGGTACAAGGTTTAGGTTGAGGTTTATTTATTTATTTTTGCCGTTCATATTCTGTGTTTTTAAAAGCTGATCTGGGAACCATCTAAAATCCAGTTAAATGCTACATTTGGGGAGACCCTTGGGGGGTGGGCCGGAGTATTCCAGTGGGAATTACTTTCTAGCTGAGGGATCTGGGTCAGGTTACTTAGCCCCTTGGAACTTTTTTAGTCCCCTTGTTTTATAAAACGGGAATAATTTTACCATACAGAGTGTGAAGATTCATTAAAAAAAAAAAAAGGCTATTCAGTGCCTATTATGTGTCAGGTACTATTATAGCTGTGAGGGGTTTAGGACTGGGACCAAGACAGACAAAGGTTACTAGCGTGAGAGTTCTGCATGTGGAACTCACATTTTGGTGGGAGGAGACAGTAAACAATGAAA